TTTAACAAAGCACTGTAGAAAAACTAAAATGGCCATTATACAGTTTCTTATCTATTTTTTCACAATGATTGCTAGACTCATGAATGGCAGGTGCTATTTATGTTTGTAATAATGTCCAATTTTCTTTAAACTTGACCGCTTTTAAAACTCATAAAATGATTTATGAGTCTACATGCATGAGCATATTGTTGCAACTCCTGGTTTTACTAGTGACTAGTGCGTTTATTGTCTTATTGTTGGTATCGCACAAATTGCTTTAACTAGGTCAATTGTAATGAATTACTACAATCGAATGAAAAGAATACATACATTCGATTAATCAAAGTTACTATACCATACTGTTACTGTTTGCAGTATCGGTGGATTCACCATTGACTTGAGTAGATGCAGCCTTCACGGGAAGATAGACTTTACGCTGTGGCATATCGCAATGCTAGTATGAGGGAAATAAAAAAGGGAAGACCAGATACGAATGGTTGTCAATATTCGGGCTTAAAGAAAATATTACAAAGCTTTCTAACATCATTGCAGATATGACTATAGTCGCTAGCAGTACGGTTTGTTTTATACTTGCCATATTATACATCTTACTAGTCTTAACCCCGCGGGATGGTGATAATTCTGGAATGATAAACCTATATGATATAATAAAGTATAAGTAAATAGATGGTTAATTAACAGTGTCGATATTTATAGACATTTTTTTATGTTAGAGGGGCCATACAAGCAGACTGGTCATGATGGAAAGTGACCATCTCCGCTCATGAACACCTGCAACTCAGGAGTCAAAAACGTGTTGCAGGCCTTTTAGGAAGGGGTATTCTAGAAGGTTTGAAGGTCGACAGACAGAAATACTAATATAATATTCGTATTTTAGTTTTATATCGCTCTCAGGTAATAAATTAACTTTTAACTAACGTTTTGACTGCACGGATGGCGTAGTATTTTAGGCGGTCGCCAAGCTGCTTACTACTACGCTTAGTGTTGTGGGTCCGATACTCCGATCCCCACGTGGGACGACACTTTGTGTGATCAACAAATTGTTGTTCTGAGTCTGGGTGTTCTTGGTGTCCGTTTCATGTATATTTGTAAAGTCCCCCGCGACACAGGATATTTCCATAATGCGAGAGTTGTCTTTTTAAATAAAAAAATAATGTTATTTAAATCGTTAACAGTATTGACTGAATTTTTATTTTAAGTAAAAATGAATTTTTTTTATAAGATTGTTCTTATTTATATTATATATATATTATATATATCTCAAATGATTCAGCACCATAAGTCAAGAAGAAAATTATCGAATCCTTGGATGACATGTTTGGGATGATTTCAATACCGCAATTTGCAAGATATTTGTCATACTTATAGAGATATTTAACATAAGTCGGAGTTTCGATTCACACCCCGGATAAATATTGCGTGATGACCATGATCATTTGTGCTGTTGCTTGGTGTAATTGATAAATTTACCTGTAATATATGTGCATTTAGAAATTATATAAGTATGATTATCAGCAGGTTGGTTACAATAGTACAGTTTGGGAGCAGACTGCCGTGAGATATGTAAATTTATTGAAGACAAAACCTCTTCAGGGGCGTTGGGTATTTTTGAACAATAAACAAAAGAATGTATTTTATGGTTTAACAAAAGAATCATTTCTTGAGATGGGAAAAAACCATTGAACTGGCGACGCTGTTACCGTTACCCCTGTTGAAGTGAACATTTCTTTAAGCGCGTTTGGCATTTATTGAGATGGGAAAAAGTAATAGAACTCACGACACTGTTATCGTTACTGTTACCGACCCCTCTGTATATAAGTATAAAAGTTTTCACTTCTGTCGGCACTCGGTGGGCAGCGGTAGGTATTTACCATCAGCCATCCGGTTAGATTGTTTGGTCCTTATACCATAAACAAAAATAATTTTATTTATGTGATTGTTTTTCCTCTTAATAATCTTTACAAATAAATAAAATTGAAGTGACTGTTTGTAAAAGTAAAAACACGGTTATTGGCACCAGTTTAAATATTTTTTGTCTGTCTATTTGTTTCGGGTAATCTTCAAAACGGCTGGATCGATTTTGATTATATTTTACTTCTAACTGTCAATGTAAGGAGTAACTTAGGCTATATTTTCTCTCAGAAAAACCCTACAAAATTTTCCCCGTTCCGGGAATCGAACCCACTAAGGTACCGCCGCTTTTCAAATTCCCAAATTCCCCGCAAACGAAGTCGCGGGCACCAGCTAGTGATTAATATATCGGTAAAGGAGTTCAGTACACTTTATTACTCAATCATCTCAAGATTTCGTTGAGTGATATGTAAGCATGTGAGTTTCAAGTGCCTGGATATTATATTAAGACAAAGATTAGATTAGATATTTCATGAGACCTTTTGTTACAAAAAACTGGGCGTAATGTAACATTCGTATACTTGAGCTTAAAGAATTACTTAACATTAAATATAGCGAAGAAACGAAATCGGACCTCAATATATTCATGGACTATTATAATACAATCTAAATGTATAGATTATATAATAAATATATGATGGTTCCTTTGAAGTCGTTTGCCAGATAAAATTCGTAGAATTTCTGGTTTATCAATTTATATTGGAACCTTCGAATCGAGGGTCGAATTAATCCTATCAATCGGGTTACTACACCAGCGGTTACGATTATAGGTTTTAGAAACTTTATGTGAAAATGAACAACTTTGTCCTAATTGATCCTAAATGATTAAAGAAACCTAAACATAATTTTTAAATGCCTATTTAATGATTTGTCACTTGAAATACATACTACATTGAGTATATTTTTTTTCCCTTATAACATATAGTTTGGGTGTCGCCATATTGAATTTTGATAACTTTTGAGTCTTTACTGACATTCGAAAGATGGTGATAAATTGATGAAGTATTATCAAAATCAGCTTACTCATTTTGTCTCTATGGCGTTACAAAGGGACAAACGTACATACAGATATAGGCTGATAAATTCGATACGGTCCTTTAACCCATAGAGTGGAGTATAAAAGCACGTGGCCTGTGACGAAAGCTAGTAGTTCTTTTACGTCCAACAAACTGAGTTACAAAACTAAAACACAGGTGTTTGAGCTAATATAAGTGATGGAAACAAATACATAATTTCATATTTTCGCTGTACTGTGCTGTAAATACTGAGTTCAGTTCAAAGTAACCATTTTGTGTAGCTTAGCACAGTACTCTATAAAGTACAAGATTTTGAGTCGATACTATGTCGATACGATGATAGTTCTAAACCAATAAAGGTACTGAACTGACGGCAACAATCTAATCTGAGTTTATAGGTCAATAGGGCCAGCCATATTCCATGCGTTCCATTCAACCATATTGCATCGAATACAGGATGTTTAAGGGCTCGTCCGCACTGTGATATTTCACCGCACGGTTTTAATTCGCGCGGAAATAAATCGACACCATATCGCACAATTTGCATCAAAACACAGATTTTATAGATTTTCACTTTAAAATTTTCAACCAAAGTGTAGTGCCAACCAAGGTGCACCTTTTCATTCACGTCCACACCACCCTACGGTAGACTCGTAAAGAATGCCTATGGCATTAGGTCCGCCATTGTACATTTTGTGCATAAAATTATTAAATAAATAAATAATGGTTTGAGTGTGTTGACTGTCTTACCGAATATTATAATTTAGAATATGAGTTTTTTGTTGTTATATGTTGCTTTGTTTGGCTAATCTTGGGAACTACTGGTTCAAATCGAAAAAATCTTTTAGTGCTGGATAGAAGCACTACAGAGCAGAGCATCAACACAAAATGTTACAAAAACGGAGAAAATTTATTCCTTTTTAACACGCTTTTATTAGCTTCACCTGTATGTTTGTTTGTATGTAACCGACTCCTTTGAGCTCGATTTTGCCCTACTTTGAACGATCAGATTTGATTCAAACTTTGCACACCTGTCAAAGGTCGATGACAATGCAATAATCCGATCAAAATATCCGATTATCCTAATTAGATTCGCCAGGATTAATTAATTTCTTTCCGCATCCTTTGCATGCGAGTAAGAGAGACAGAGCTAGTGCGCGAACTACGCATGCGTGCAGTTCCAGACTTGGTCTTTCGGGCACTCAGTTCAGCACAACCTTATAAAAACTAATATGGTAGTTGCGTCTTGTTCCTTATACTTACATATATGTCCCGACAAATCTAATACGCATTCTATTATCATTTTATAATATCCATAATATATTTATAACCGTGATTTACAGAAAAAACCAAAAAAATTAACTAAAAAATGAAAAATAAATAATAGTTTAAAAAAACTAAAATTAAAAACACGCTTTTATAGAAAATCCAACTAAAAAACAGAAAATAAAGTTTAATAAATTTGGATTAAGAATAGTGTAAATTTGATTAAGTTTGATTAAGTACAGTGTAAAAAAAAATGAATGTACATTATTGTAAAAAAGCGTGGGGTGCATAGTGTCAATAGTTATAAACATGTATTGTCAGATGAGTAGAAAAATCATCACTTTGATAATATCATAAAAAGCACTTCAGATGCTCCCCACGCTTTTTTACTGTAATGTACATTCATTTTTTTTTACACTGTACTTAATCAAACTTAATCAAATTTACACTATTCTTAATCCAAATTTATTAAACTTTATTTTCTGTTTTTTAGTTGGATTTTCTATAAAAGCGTGTTTTTAATTTTAGTTTTTTTAAACTATTATTTATGATGTATACAATCTTTGACAATGCAATCTAAAGCTAGTAACTAAACTGTGGTGGAAGTTGTCTTAAGAATATCCATACTTATATCATTAATGTGAACGTGAATTTGTTTACTGGTTGTTACGCCTTCACGGTTAAACCACTTGACCCATTTAAAAAATTCTTTCATCAATGGACTACTACATTATTAGCGAGTAACACAGGCTGCTTTTTACCGCCATAACCGATATACACACATACAATAATATAAAAGATACTCACGATATCCCGAAGTACACGAACATGCTGATATCGTACCAGTAGATCGCCAGATACCTCAACACCGTTGATGCGACAGCTATAAGAACCAGAAGGGACCAGCCCAATTTTTTGAATTTCCAGATCAGTACCATTAGGGGGAGCGTAGCTACGTACAGCTGCATGTCCATGCCGATTTGGTGCGTGTGTGTTAGGCACTGGAACAAAATAAATACGGTTGGGTTAGGTTGGCACTAGAAATCTCTGAACTTTATATGAAGTATACGTAAATGCGTGTTTTTGTGACATCAACAAATTTTAATACCTTCCTAGTTCCAGATTTTATGTATGTTTGTGCTTGTATACTGCCCGTTTGGTCCTAAATTTAATGAAAAACCCACAAAGGTAAAAATTAAGTAATGAAGAATATAGTTTATTACAATCTACCATGACTTAGGCGCGTTAAAGTCGGTTAAACATTTTTTTAAAGAATTTATATTTAAAGATTAATTTCAAAAACAACTTCCTATATGGGACTTGAAATACATTAAAGGACATCAATTACATTATGAACGGGATCTCAAGTACCTAAACTATTCGAACTGATGGCAGTTGGAGATATGAGGATTTCTTACTGCTAACCTATTCGGTTACCACTTAGCCACGACCCTCCATACGTAAAAAACGAGGACGTATACAATAAAAACATAAAAGAGACTGTCTACTAAGAGAGATTAAGATTGGGTTCATCCTTATCTGGTATGTAGTGCCGTCAACAGCTAAGTCACAATTGGTATTGTGTGTAAAACATGGTCACAATACGAGTTGTGACTTAGCTGTAAAACGTAAAGGACCCATAGGAACCCTTAAAAGAGGAAAATTAGACATAACTAATGAGATTCCTGCTTCTATTTCTATATTAAAAGATTAACATTTTCTTTTTATAATGCGTATAACGCCAATTAAACTTAGTTCGAGGCACGTGTGATGATTTTCCAAACCAGTTAAATACGACTTACATATAAACCGCACAAAATTGTAAAATCCTTTAAGCCTAATTGATTGAAATATTGGTTTTGAATCGGTTAATAACTAGGTACATAATTGAGTGTTCGCTTATGCGTGAAGAGATTATGTTCTCATTATTTAAATAATGATTTATTCAATATCATTAATTAATAAAACGGTTTTAGTTTTTTTTTGTTATCAACATGTTGGTTATTATTATAATTTCTAAATATACATGACTGAATTGTACGACCGAAAGGTGCACGCATTTTTACAGTAAAATGTTTTTTTTTTGGAAATTTTATAATATTTATTTCTACTTTTTAGTTCGACTAGATACAAAAGCGTGATTTTTTGTTTTTTTTTTAAATATAATTTATTATTATTATTATATGTATCGTAAAAGTTATAATATTAATAGTGTGCTTACTAATTATGCACGATACAATGATTTATTACCTCAAAACAGACTGCATGCATATAATAATGATAATAAAATAAACATCAAATAATGACCTATTAACGACCCAGATTAAATAATCAATAAAGTTAGTACCCTAGAGTAGATAAGTTGTTAGGCAAGAAATAGGTGGTATAATGGTTATATAACAATCGTGGGATATTGTACAACCGTATTACTAGATGCGTGTGGCAGTCGTACAGTGTTAGTGTTCACTGATATCTATCTCACAAATACACAATCTTTCACTGCCTGTCTGCTTTCATCACTCGTCAATTATACATTGAAGATATTTTACAAACCTTTATTCCTAAATTGATCTTTGTCATCATCATCATCAACAGCCTATACTAGTCCACTGCTGGACATAGGCCTCTCCTTAGAAAGGAGGTTTAAGCTTAAGCTGAAGAATTAGTAAAAATAGGAAACAACATTTATACCTCCTTTGCCTTTTAATTATACCTCATCTTTGCAGTTTAAGATGGTGTTTGAATAGACAAATATAAATAGTGAAAATAAGGAACTGAATCGAGGGAAGTCAACTACGCAATTTATTATTATTTAGTTTTCCATTAGTTATTCCTAAAGTCCAAAATAAGTTACCTCAATTTTATTTGTTTACTAAGGCTTTACTTTACTATGTAAGGTGCAAAAGGTCTTACGTTGCATTATGTGCTCTGGCGGTATTTGTTCAAAGTATTACAATGTTTTAAAGCTAGTAGCGCAAGTGAGTCTTAAAAGAAGAGTAAGTCGTTTTAATGTCGTTTAATGTGTCGTTTAATTAAAGAACAAAATTTTAGTTTAAATAAACCTAAATAACCAGCTTTTGGAACCAGCCGAACTAAAAAGTAGAAAATAATTTTCTATACGTTCAAAAAGAAAAATCATTTCCTATAATAACACCCCACGCATTTTTATTATAGAATAATTTGACTTTCTTAAATTAGAGAAAAAAAAAATCTACACTTTAGTTCGGCTAATTACAATGCGTGATTTTTAAACTATAATTTATTTTTGATTTTTTGGTAATTAATGATGATTATTTTCTCATTAAGACTAAAATGTAACAAGTAAGTAAGCCATATATGCTTGAGTACACGCCTCTTACTAAAAGATACTATCGTATTTTAAGGTATGGAAAAAGCCGTTAATCCTGAAGATCCTGTACAGGATAATAGGTCAAATTAATCACATTTTTATATTGCCATCGGTCCTTAAGTCGGTCATAAGTGTGCGGAGTTTCAAGTAAAGTCGATGTTTTGAAGTGGGTCAAAATCGGTTTCGAAGATTTTGATACAAACAAAAATCCTTCTTTTAAAAAGTTGAATGCTCTTGAAACAATACTAACAAAGAGCACTAAAACCCTAAGGGCAACCGCGGTTGATAAGCTGTCATTTTTTGAAAAGTTACGTTGTCTGTCTCCTAAACTAATCATCGGATCTTTATGAAATTTAAATGGGACCATTTCGGAATAAACACCTTTCGAACAAAACAAGAATTTATTACTTAATTTAAAACAATATTATAATTAACAATATTTGGCCTTAAAATAGGATTTCAGTTGCAAATTAGAACAAAATGAGAATTTATTACTCTGTTAATTATAACGCTTTTAAGACTGCATGCAATTATCAAAACTTTGATGTTTGCGTGTAATCGTAAGGCTTTTGATTCACGAGTTATTTTCATTGTTCGTGTTTTCCTGTCAGGAAATTCTCAGCACGCATTCCGGCAGACGATAGTAGTTTTACATCCTTTTGCTTAGATCTACAAAAATAGTGCCATTATGGATATGCAGTATACCACTGTCTGCCCCTCAATGCGCAAACGATTATCTGTGAATCTGTGGAAGTTGTATGTTTACTTTTTAACGACAAGTTATAGTTAACGTCTGGCACAGACCCGGGTCTGTGCCAGACGTTAACTATAACTTGTCAGGCCTGACCTAACACGTGTTACGTAATTATAAAAACTAGATCAATAAGATTCAATAAATTTGTGTTTCAATAAATACGTTATAATTATGTGTTATATTTAAAAATAATCTAATAATAATAAAAAATATAATAATAATAGTAAATCTCGCTCCGGAGAGTGCATTCACAAGTATATTTTATGGAGAATGACATGACTGGGAGAGACCTTATAATCTTCACTGGCTTTGGCAGACTTTACAATACACCAAGCACCGTAGACAACTTGATGGCCTTAGGCTCAATTAAAGCTGTCCCGAGGGTAACTCGACGGGTGGTTTAACCCTAAGCGTTGGTGAAGGAGGACCGAAACTCCATGGGTTCCCGAAAGGGGCTGCACTATTCCTACACATTACTCTGAGAGTAGCTGTAGTTGACGACAGAAATTTGTTACAAAGTTTTTATGAACGTTAACTGGATACCATCATATTGGTTGTGCAACTCCTAGTCTGTAACTGTCTTAGTTAAAAACCATTTTCATCTTACATCTATACGAGTATAATTTTAATTAAAGAGAAATTAATAGTTTACAGTGTTGCTTTGTCTTAATATTAATCACTGGTATTTCTACAGGAAGCAATTTTAAAATAAATTTTGCTGAATATTTACCTTGTTTTTTTTACATTAGTGATGACATCATTAGTATACATTATTAGTTGGAAATATCTATGCCAAGCATTAGTGTAAAATCATAATTAATTAAAGATTTTAAAGAAAGAACATTTGCAATATAATTAAAATATACATAGTTATTTAACTTTGTAGATCTACAATTCGCACGTAAATCTTTGTCGCACCGGTTATCTTGGCCTAATGATTTGAATAATACTTAAAACATGTTTTGTAAAACAGCACTTTCTGTAGAAACGTTTTAGTCAGGTTTGTCACTCCCAACAATGGCAACAAATAAAACTGGACCACAGGACATATGTACAGTGGACACAGACACCTAAAGGCATCTAGCATAAAAGCGGATAAGTCTAGTTTGATAAACTCTTTATTCTAAAATAATAACAATACTCACCATTTCCTCAAATCCAAAATAGTTGTGTATGAACAGAAAACTTTTCCACATATTCTTTTCGCAGACTCTGCTGTGTTCCTCCACGACCAAGTTCCACTGGGGGCCGTTGTTAACGTCTGGCAGAATGTATGTACAGAATAACATCAGACTCACGAAGAGAGGAAATAGTCTAAAAGAACAAAAAGAAAACCGAATTCAGTGTTAAACAATGTATTGTAATATGTAGAATAATGTATAATGTAGAAAAAAGAATATTAATAAATTAATTTTTACAGGACACAATAGGGATTCTTAAGGGGGAAGAGAATAAAACCTTTCGCTGTCAACAAAGAAGTAGTCTAAATACCAAAAGCGAAAGCATAAACTCTGGTGTCCAGGGTTGAATATGAAACCCGGGAATACCTATTGCTCTGCTTCGGTGTATTATGAATTTCAAAAGAAATAAAGATATAAAATCAGAGAAGATTCAAAATTCAGAGCTTTAGTTCGGATATCTTAAAATGGAAACACTAATGTTTAATTTTTAAACCTATTATTTCAAATACCTAAAAAAACTATGCTAACTAATATATTTGTGTGTAATCTGTATTTTATAATTCATAGCACGTGTAGGTGTTAGATAAAAATCATGCGTTAACTTAATTCCATTTTAAATGTTTCCGTCATTAGTAGCAACGTGTAAATTATAGAGTGCATTTGAAATATATTTTGTCTGAGGTTTCTTAGTAATCATTATAAATATGTACTCGTATATACATATGGCGACGCGCAAAATATTAATAATAATAACTTCACACATCTCACACACGGCCGTCTGATCCCAAACTGGGTAGAGGTTGTACTATGGAAACTAGACCGCTGATAAACACACATAAATATATATTTAAAATAGAGTCATTGCTTTGTATTGATTATAAATTATTTGTTTACATTGATATATTTGTTTTTAAAAATATGTTGAGTACGATATTTCTCTTAAAAACTGAGCAGGAGGAATAATATAATTGTATTGTTAGATGAATTGTACACATGTTAAACTATTAACTCCTAATTCGTTTTTTGTATACATAAGAGTTTAAAAAATAAATAAAATAAATATTTATGACAACTCACTCAACAACAATGATCCTGTGTTGTACTCGTGCATCAATTGCAACAGATTTGAATTAGTAATTTGTATAATTGATACTATAAAATATTTTCTGTTTTAATACCGTATATTATACCGTGTTCGATGAATAAGAGGGGAATTACCTGTTACAAACGCAAACCGTTTATTACTCCAGTACGTAAGAAGTTTTTGTTTTTAAAGTATATGAAATCTGGTTAGTTTTCAATAAACGGTTGATGACATTTCTAAAACCAAGAAATATTTGATATATGTTATACTTAAAACCACTCAGATCAATGCCTGCTGCTAAATTGGAGAGATGGTTTTAAACATTTTATTTCAACTAGCTTCAGTAATCTCAAGTAATTTTCAAAATTATGTCTAAATTACGAAATAGACGGATATCTAGTTAGGTATTAAATTAATCGTTACGTATTTGACTTAATTAAACAAACTTGAGAATTTCTGATTCTGCTTAAATATGTTTAATGTTACATAAACTTTAGATTGGTAAGTAATTTCTGTCCATTTCAGACATCTTATTTTGAGTTTTAATAGACAAAATAATTTCGGTAATATAAATCCCGTTCATCACTAAGTTTTTAGTGAAAACGATGTTCAATTTTTCAATTCAGTACAAATCTAGATTAATGGTTAAAGGGGGAATTAATGAATGGTCCCGTTTGAAACAAAGGATGTATTTCGATGGTGGTATTTCAAGGTAATCAATCTTCTCTTAATGGTGATGGCGCCGATAAATTACAATTTTAAGACATACCTAAACCATCTGGCGATGAGGCGGTCCTTGAGGTTGATAGTTCCCTTCCTTTCTAGGTCTTGAAGAAGGTTGTTTGCATTTAAAAACCCGCTGAGGTACAAGAAGCTGTCTGTGTAGAGGATGGCGGATCGCCCGACGACGGCCCAAGGCATGCCAAATACCTAAAATATTTGCTTAATTGTTAATATTGATGTAAAATAAGTATGAAACAATGTAACAAAAATAAGTACTCTTGGCAACCATTTACTTGTAGTTACCATCACATCAACATAGCTTACATTCTTTGATATTATTCATAAGTTACATAAAAGAAGCCTTTATTTAAATTCTAAATAGTATCGTATATTTACTGGCTTAGAAGTTTTATTATGTATACAGCACAGGAAAATAATATATTAAAGAAATTGGTTTAGACTGATTTAAATTGGTTTTTGAACGCATACTCTGATTGTATTTTTACGCCTTTGTGCCCAAAGAAATAACTAAAGGTGATTTATACTGCTATTATTTGTTAACTATTTTTTGTTCCATATTATGTTCATAAGGGTCAAGTTCAATGTTATCTTTTGGTCTGCTCGTATGCTCCTTGTATCATAAAAGAGTTACAACTCGGACTTTATGACAGTAATAAAACATGTATCAAAAAATTGCTCAATACGGGCAACATTTTTTTTTTAAAGACAACTCCCGCAAAGATTTTATAAACACACATGAAACGGACACAAAGAACATCCAGACTCAGAACAACAATTTGTGGATCACACAAAGTGTCGTCCCATGTGGAGATCGAACCCACAACACTCAGCGCATTAGGAAGCGGCGAGGTGACCGCTAAAGCCACTCCGTGCATTCAGACATTACATTAATATCGTGATGGATGTTAAATCACATGGTTGTTAAAATTAAATTTTACCACAATCTTTTCGCAACATTTTAACCAACTGAAATCACTAAACGAAAGAAACGAAATAAAATATTATCCAATGTATAATTTTAATCTGTTTTATATAATTTATTCAACCTATTATCCAATATTTACATAAACCAAAGTCGCACTTTAAGTATTGAACAATTTTCAGTATGTAGTAGAAGATATCTTGCTAATACATAGAAATCCAGAAAATCAAAATTTTCTAACTATATACATTGCCCAATGATTTCAGCCTAAGAGTGTAACCAAGATAAGATGAGTTTGGGAAGTTACACTCAATATTTTTGTTTCAGCCACATTGTCTTCAATGTCAAAATCACCGCAACTATAAGAAAGACATCTAATCAGGGTTTTTTTCTCTCTTTTTTCGAATCTAATGACACATTCGAGGAAGGGAACATTGTTCAGTGACATAGTCTGGAGGCAGTTTTATTTTTACATATACCTCACACATCTCACAAACGGCCGCCGTGATCATAAACTAGGCAGATCCTGTAACCAGACTGCTGATAAACATAGGGGGAAGTCCCCTAGTGCCGGACACATAAGGTTTTCAGGAAATAAAATTAAAACTACATCGAGAAATATGTATATATTTATGAATTACTTAAATTAACAAAACATAAAATCAAAATCAAATAACAAAAATACAAATTCTGCGTAAACATAGTTTAGGAATGTTAAATAAGTTTTGGTAAAAAAATAAAGGACTTTGACATTGGCACCTAGTACCGGACGGGTTAATCTTCAAACCCCAAGCGCCGGACATTCTAAAACTTTTAGCATCTATCACATATGTAGGCATCTCCACATTCTGGAACGTCTGCACATGCTTCATGAGCCCATTATTGGCATCTGGAGCATTGTATCCAGTCCTCGTCGTGGTCTTCTAAACACACTACACAAGTCGTTTTTTCTATATTTGATACTTCAGTTAACGGCTCCTTTTTGTTGTCGTTATTGCCACGTTTGGTTTGTTTACTCATGGGGAATCTTCATAGCTTCAGCCAAGTCGTAAGCTAACTTCAAAAACTCGTTTTTTCATCAGGGGCAGACATCTATTAGACAAATCTCTTATGTGGTCCACTAAAACTTGCTCATACTCGGGTGAGAAGGTTTTTGTGAATCTACCAACTTTTAGTTGCAACGTGACTTCTTTTCTACTGCTCAATGTCGTTATTTTATCATGTAGAGTACTTTTTGGAACATTGTAACGTGACGAAGCTGCCCTCAAACTCATTTTTTTGGACAAAATCTTGTTCATCGCAGTTTATAAACTTTGCTGATCCCATTTTCCTTTTATTTTCTCTCTTGCATTTTCAAATATCTCTCTCCTTCTATCCTGTAAAACAATAAACAATCATCATTACAATAAGTACAAATGCTTCATAAAAAAGCTAACCTATAAACTGTCCGGTGGTAAGGGACACCTTTGTGTCCGAAAGTAGGGGACAGGAAACGTTTAAAATTACGTATTTCATACTAAAACTGTTTAGGTATTTAATAAAAACTTTCACAATATAATAATTATAGTGAAACACTGTCTTTATTAACAAATAACAAAAACAATTAAGGATAAAACCATAGCAGTAATACTTACTTGAAATTTACGTGACGCAACGCTTTCCCACCAAAAACAGCAATTCACCGCTTCCACCACGACTGTGCGTCTCACTGGCAAATCGCGTTGCGTGATCCTGTCTCGCTACGTTCCCCCGCACCCCTTTCACCGATTTATAAATAGATCGCGTTGACGTTTGTCAAAATAGTATGAGTGTCCGGCGCTAGGTGCCGTCCGGCGCTACGGGACTTCCCCCTACTTATATTTTTAAATACATACATATTTTAGAAAAATTACACCCAGACACAGAACAAATGACCGTGCTCATCACACAATATTTGTCCTGGGTGGGAATCGAACCCACGACCCTCCGGCTTAGCAGTCAGAGTCACTAACCACTAGACCAACAGGCCCGCCTAGCCAGCCCAGTTCTCGAATGGTTATAGTGGACTGGTAAAGCTGGGGATGTCATAACTATTAACTATTGCCTATTACATACATACCTATTAGTTATCCTACAATAAGCTTTGGCGAGCTCATCTAAGAGTTGCGAGCTGAATTCGAGAGTGTAGATTGGACATTAAAATTGTTACTGAAAATTACTGTTCAATTTAAATTAATTGTTGTTTTTATTTATATTTTTTTTATAACACAGTTTTTTCTAATTTTCGTAGTTGTCATTTACATTTTTTAAGCAAAGCAGCATGTATCTTATTCTTAAGATGTAAATAAACCCTACAAGCTGGTGTATGCTTTTCAAGCAATCCCTTAACTCTTTGTTACTTTATTTTTTTAGATTAATGATGTATCTTTGACATAGCCATAATATATTTTGGACCTCACACTATTTAAAATGTTGCTTTTCTAAAGTTATATACGTCTTTAGTTATACACTCCATGGTGCTACGGTGATTTTTCTCACCACATTTTGGCGCACACTTAGAACATAGGTTGGTAACACTGTAAGAACCTAACCTTTAGGTTTTAAAATTTACTAAAAAAACAATTATACTTACATTAGAATAGCTAACTTTGTTTACATAAGGGTTGTGAGCCATAGCCATAGATTTATGAGCAATCAACAGCGCTAGCGCGTTTATACCTCTAAACGCGTCAATACCTTTGACCTTGGTCGGGGAATCGGATAGGTCAAAAATCTTTTTTAAATTCCTTTTTAAGGAAAACGCGTTCAGAAGTTTTTCGAAGTTTGTCGCACCTTCTTTGTCATCGTCTAGTATAGTTCCTAAACTCAGTAGCAGAATAATTGCCAGGAAAAATGTGCTGCAACAAAAATCAAAAGAAACTTATAAAAAAAACAAAACTTTTAAAATTTGTGCGATGTAAAATACATGCAAAATAACATTACCTAAAGTTTAGAATGTCAATGAACAGCCATTTGTACATACGCGTGACACACATTTAATTTTGCGAAACAATAAAAACAATTGTATCAAACTAAAAACCTTAAACACAATTTATATCAAATTAAATTATCAGTAAATTTAACTTGGTCATAGAGGGCAAACAACCCCTATGTCATTTTCATCATAGTTTTTATAACCATAATTTCAAACGAAAAACTGTAAACATTAAAAATATACGTATGATAAATTAATACATAATTAGATATTCAGTCACTTAAAAAAAAGAACTTGATTACCGGTTCTTAACATTCGCAGAAATGATATTAGGTAGGCGAAACTAAACTTAAGTTTAAGTTCGGTAGTAAACATTTGTCAAGAATATGTCTTAAAAAACTTTAATGAATGCAGTTTCCTAGACTTCTTGCTTACAGGCTTCCTGAGAATACATTAAGATCGCGTTCTAAGATTGTGTCATACTCAAAAGATGATGTCGTCAATTAATTATATATTTCCTCGACTAACATGCTAATATGACTGTTTATACGTATATTTTATCAGAAATCTTAAAGGAAGTATGTTTGTAGAATTTTAAGTGGATGATCGAGAGACTTCTACTGTAGAATACTATAACTGTAGAATTATTACACAAATAAATGTCAATAATTATAAGGGATAAATGGGTTTACTATCGGATTTAAGGTTAGGACGTGACGTAAACTGGTAAAGCTAACTATCGAACTGGTGTCAGTAACCGTTTATGCTTCATGAATATGAATACTCAATAAATTTCTTGTTCGAATAAATTTTGCTGATTTTTATTTGAGTTCTAAGTGGTCAGAATGTGTATAGGTACTTGTGCATTTATTTACCTTTAGGTTTTATTTAAAATTGCACGCTTTTGAAAGGCATCTATACAAATAATACCATCTATACAAATAAATAAAATTGAAGGGTCTGTTTGTAATTTCAAAATAATAGGTTTTTTTCATGCACACACTGTTATTTAATGCCTATTTAAACTTATGCCTAAAAACCAGTTTAAATATTTTTTGTCTGTCTATCTGTTTGTTCCGAGTAATCTTCAAAACGGCTGGACTAAATTTGAAAATATTTTACTACCAGGTAGCTGTCTATATAAGGAGTAACTTAGGCTGTTTTTCCTCTCATAAAAACCTATGAAATTTTGCCTGGTCCTGGAATTGAAGTCGAGGCCATATGGACTGTAGGACTCCACTAAGGCAGCGAACGAAACCGAGGATACAAGCTAGTCTTATAACTTCTTATACCGCTAAGTGCATTTTGGGCCACGCGCAGTGTTTTATTACTACACGTTTTAAATAAGTTACAACTTCATCTAAGTAATTATTTCCTAAGAACTTTGTATTTTGTACGAAATTTTACAATTCATAAGTTGAGAAATGATTACTCCTTTTTTTTTTTTTTTTTTTTTTTAACGTGTGGAAATCCCCTCGGACCGTCACCCCTCCGGGGTTTGCGGCGGGGTGGTGTGTCGGACTCGGACCGACTAAAACCACACGGTGTGCCACTCTGCGCCTGTAACAGGAGGGATCCGGGAACAGCTGTTGTTAAGACATCCGGACCCCTCCTAGCGCCAGCCCGCTCCTGGTGCGGGCTCCGTCTCTATGTTTTTGTTCCTCTCTTTAGGCGACGTCCGGCACACGCGGACGCCGCCCCCTCGCGGCTGGCCAAACTAATGCGGGTGGAGGGGAAACCCACCCCATCCACCCGCGGCCACACTCAGGGCGGCATGAGGCTGTGATAGGCGGGCCTCCGCCGCCCGGTTCGCCGGCGGCGGATCGGGTCCGAGTGGAGGTCGTCCTCCCGGGCCCTCTCCGCCGCCTCCTTCCGCGAGATTACTACCTCGCAGAAGGTTGCGACCGCGGTAAAACAACTGTCGCTACCGGCCATGGAGCGTACTACGGCCGGTAGCGAGAGATCCACTCCGATGACTGCAGTGAGGGCCCGGCGCTGCGCCGCCCATGCGGGGCAGACCGCCAGCGTGTGCTGGGCCGAGTCCTCACTGCAGTCGCAGTGGTGGCAGGCGGGACTCAGTTCCCTCCTAGCGACCGTGTGCAGGTACTTTCCGAAGCAACCATGCCCGGAAAGCACCTGCGTCAGCCGGAAGGAAAGGGTCCCGTGCTGCCGCCCTGCCCACTCGGCGATGACCGGCTGGAGAGCCTCCACGGCGGCGAAGCCAGCGCGTGGAGTTTCCAGCCGGAACGACCAACGAGCCATCGTGGCTCGGCGAGCGGCTTCGCGCCACTCGCGCACATCCTCGGGCGGAGGGCGAAATCCGCTCTCCGCCCGGAAGTCAGCCACTCGCCGATAAACTTCGGCGAGCACTTCCGCCTCCAAATCCCACGGGGGAGTTCCGGCCAACGCGCATGCCACCTCCGTCGACACGGTGCGGTAACCGCGTATGGCTCTGACCGCCATTACCCTCTGAGGGCGCCAGAGGCGTACCCTATTCTGGGCGGTCAGAGCCGCCGCAAACACCGGTGCACCGTACAGTGCCATTGACCGGACAACCCCCGTGTACAGCCGTCTTGTCGCGACGCTGGGTCCACCCATATTGGGCAAGAGTCGCCCTAGGGCAGACGCAGCGCCGACCAGCTTTGGAGCAAGCTGTCGGAAGTGCTCGTCGAAGAGCCACCTCCCGTCGAGGATCAGGCCCAGATATTTCATCTGGGCCCGAACCGGTACGAGGACCGAGTTGACCACGATGGAGGCGCCAGGGGGTGGACCACGACGGGGCCCATGAAATAACAGGGCCTCCGTCTTATCTAGGGCCACCCGTAAGCCCAGCGCCTCAATGCGCCCGACCACCAGGGAGACTCCCCCTGTGGCCAGGCGCGCCGCCTCTTGGAAGTTTGCCCCCCGGGCTGTCACCAGGGTATCGTCTGCGTAACAGATTACACCCAGCCCGGGGGGGAAATCGGCGCGAAGGGCCCAGTCGTACCCTATGTTCCACAAGAGGGGTCCAAAAACAGACCCCTGTGGAACACCGCACGACATGGGCCGACTCCTCAAATTACCTTCTCGGTCCTCGTACACGACGGTACGCTCCTCTAAGTAGTCTGCCACTAGCCGCCTCAGGTACTTTGGCACCCCATGATAGTGGAGTGCTTCCCTGATGCAGCTGAATGGCAGACTATTGAATGCGTTGGCGATGTCTAATGACACCGCCAACAGCACGCCGCCACAGCTCACTGCCTCTTCGGTCACGGCCCTCAGGCGCAACACGGCGTCGACCGTCGAACGCCCCGCCCGAAAACCAAATTGGGCGTCCGACAGATCGGGGCCCACCTCGCAGAGGTGCCGGACGATGCGGGCAGAAAGAACCCTCTCAAACAATTTGCCCGCCTCGTCCAGCAGCACGATGGGCCTATAGGCCGCGACCGAATCGGCAGGCCGTCCCGGCTTCCTCAATAGGACCAGCTTCCCGCTCTTCCAGCACTCAGGGAAGCGTCCCGACGCCAAGCTAGCGTCGAACACCTCCCCGAGGCGGTCTGCCATGTGGTTGAGGGCCAGGGCCAGCACTCGGGCCGGTACCCCGTCTGGCCCAGGGGCGGTGTTCTTGGAACGGATCCGTAGAACAGCCGCCCCTACCTCCGAATCCCGGACGGGCGGAACATTTTCCTCCCCGTGCTCCCCGTCGTCCTCCGGCCAAGGAGGCCATCGCCGGGGGAGTGTGTTCCGCTCGTTGCGGGAAAAGGCCCTCAACCACTTCTCGCAGGAAGCTGGGCTGGAGAGTCTCCGTAAGGGGGGGGCCCGACGCGCGGAGCTTTTGTCGCACCGCGCGGTAAGGGCGACCCCAGGGGTCACGATTAAGACCCTCCAGCATCTCCTGTCTTTTTTCTTCTTTGGCGCGGCTAATGGCCAGCTTCAGAGTTTTCCGCGCCCGTCGGTACTCCTCATGAAGCCGGTCCTCCTCACCGTCTCCACGGTGACGCCGCCGACTGCGCGTGTAGGACCTCCGGGCACGTGTACAGGCCGCACGGAGGTCCGCCAGCTCCTGGGACCACCAGTAGACCTCCTTCCTTGGAGGCCGACGACCTCGAACGCGGGGCATGGCCGCATCGCATACATGCGTAATCGCATCGCGAAAGCGGCCAGCCCCCACGTCGACCTCCTCGGTCGGAGCCTGAGGAGACAGCCACGAGTGAATTATGGCTGCCTCCTCTAGTAGGTCCCGGTTCAGTCTGGCAACAGCCCACCGCGGAAAGCGGGATAAACGCCGCGCCACGTGACCCCTACTGGAGTCCTGGGTCCGGGAGAGCTCAAATCGGATATACAGGTGATCCGAGAGCGTCTCAACCTCTTCCAGGACACACCAGTTCCTTACTCGTGCGGCGAGGGCAGGGGTAGCGAACGAAAGGTCCACTATCGACCCCCCCTGCTGTCGCACGCACGTGTTGGTGGAGCCTCTGTTTAGAAGACAGAGGCCCACCGAGGCCGCCCACTCCTCTACGGCCTCGCCCCTGGCGTCCGTCCTGGGGGAACCCCACGCAATGGACTTTGCGTTGAAGTCCCCCAGCACAAGGACGTGCCCAGACGCTAGTCGCCGTATCGAGGTCTCCAAGCTGGTCAGGAAAACCTCGAAGTCGTTCAAACTCCGGTTGGGGGAGAAATAGACACCATATATGGTGATCCCCCCCCACTCGACGGCAACATATCCAGTGCCCTTGTCTCTTAGCGACAAGGGCGGGGAATGAGCCGTCGTGGAACCGACGACTGCCACGGAGCCGTCCCAGTCACCCATCCAGTTTGGACGGGGAGGGACAGAATAGGGCTCCGTGACTACGGCAACACCTATCGACCACTGTGCCATGGTTTGCAGGAAGAGATCCTGCGCCGCGGCACAGTGGTTCAGGTTCGTCTGGACCAGGAGGCTGGAGACCCGATCCATTACTGGATCGTCTCTACAGCCTCCTCCATGGGCGACGACGTCGACGCACGAACTACGTCGGAGGCAGCCTGGGTCGACTGGCTAGCCCCCGATGCTTGCTGAGAGATGCGGGGAGGCTTGCAGCCCCCCTGCCCCATCTGGTGATTGGCGGGCTTGTTACCCGCCGCACACACCGGGCAGTGAGGGGCGGCAGAGCATTCCACCGCCACATGCCCCGGTCGACCACAGCGGAAACAAAGTCCGCTGCAGTCGAAGCAGCTTTGGCACTTGACGCGCGTGTGCCCCGATGCTAGGCATTTGTAACATCTCATCGGTCTCGCCGCCAGGACTGTGATCCTGGCGCTCACGAAACCGACGAGCAGCCTGCCGGCGTCGGCCAATACTTTGGCCGACGCTACGGGACAGCTGACCCACACGGCGCCAAGCCCTCCTGGACCGGGGCGGATGGTGCCGACCCTGACGTTGTCCGCGCTGCACCCCGTCTTCTCCCGGATTACAGCGCGGACATCTTCGGCCGTCACAGAGTCGTCCAGGCCCGAGATGCGCAGCTCCGCGCACTTGGTAGGCCTGGCGATCTTGACACCATCTGTGGCCGCGAATAGACCCCGCAGCCTCTCAGCGAAAGTGTCCGCCGTCTTGGCGCCTTCAGCCCCTGGGAACTCGAGAACTCGAGCTCCCGTTTGGGCGAGGCGCATCTTCACCCCCGCCGTCCCAAAGTCGTTGGCGAGGCTGTCCCGGGCCTTTTTAAACACGGCCGCGTAGGACAGCCCGCCGTCAGCCGCCTCCGGGGACACGGTCACCACTACCGCCGCGGTTTTGGGCGGCTGCAGCTTCCGCGGCCTCTTTGCAGAGGCCGTTGCCACCGGTGGCGAAGGCAGGGCTTGGGCTGCTCTTTGGGCAGCCCTTCTGGCCCGCCTTCGGGACTTCTTGGATCCCCTCGCCTCCTGCCAACCCTCGTTGGAGGGGGCAGGTGCGGAGGGGCCCGGCAGGGGTGTCGGAGTGGGGAGCGGAGGGAATGCCACTCCGCTCCTCGGCGCCGTTTTAGGCCCCGTCTTGGCCGGCACTTTGGCCTGCGCCTTGGCCGGCGCCTGGGACGGTGCCTTGGCCGGCGCCTGGGCCGGTGCCTTGGCCCCCCTCCTCGGCTTTTGAGGAGCCGATGGAGTAGGGGCAGACGCCGCCGCCGCGTATGAAACGCGGCCTCCCACCACGGGGAGCGCGGTCGGAGCGGCGGCCTTAGGTCGCTGTGACGACGCGAGCGGGGGGCGCACAATCGGCGCAGGGGGCAACCTCGCCTCCAGGCCAGCCAGGCGTCCGTCCAGCATATTCCCAACTGCGATGAGGATTTCACGCAGTTGGGAGTCAAATGCCCCTGAGTTGGCGGTAGGGGCAGGCTGGGACGCGGACGGGGCTTCCCGCTCGGGGAGGTTCGCCTGGAAGCGGGCGAACTGAGCGCTCAGCTCGTTCACCCGCTCCGTCAGCCTCTCGTTGGCCACCTGCAGGCGAGAGACGTCGCCCGCTAGGCCCTCCACGACCTCCGACAAAGCGGAGGAGGAGTCCTTAAGGGCCCTCACAAACGAGCCCTTAAGGTTCACGGATTTGGTGGCCACCTTGTGAATGACGGCCACCGCCGCTTTCGCCCTCTCCTGCACGGACACGGGAGCCTGGGGGGCATTTCCCCCCACCGGCTCCCGAACCTTGAGCAGGAGATCCGCGATCTCCTCCTCCGCTACGGCCTCGCCGTCCACCCGTACACTTCTGTAGGACTCCGCGTTTGAGAACGCGGAGCCTGACGGGGTTAAGACCGGGGCCGAGGCCGGTTTGCGCGCCCTCCCTCGGCGGCTGCTTGCCACCTTCGGTGGCATCATCTCCTGGGACGTATCCGTTTCCTCGTCCCTGGAGCGTCCGCGTTTCCGGCTGTCGCTTCGTTCAGCCTCCATGGCCTCCGCGCCATCCGACGAAGCGGCGGATCCGGAACGCAGCCGATCCGATGCTCTTCGGCTCCCAGAGATCAGAGTCAGACTGACTTCTGGGAGCCCCATCGAGATGGGCGTTCCCGACGCCACCTCACCCTCAGTTGACGACCCATCGACTCCACTGTTCCTCTTCTCCCTTGCACCTTTCGTTGCAGTGTCCGTTTTGCTTGCCTTGTTCCGTTGTTTGATTGTTTCCGATCGTTTTGTTTGGTTTAAATTCAAATCATCCATAATAAATCCCACGAGTGGGGGAGAACTAAAGGTCCACCCGGGCAGAGATCCCCCATTACCCGGGCAAGCGTAAGTTTTTAACCCAACCGAGGGGTCCGCAGGTACCTCGGCTTGGAGTGCGCTCGCGACTGAACTCCCATCAGCCATGCATCCCCTGGCCACGCACCAGAACACGGGATTCGGGGAATTTTTTAGAGAGGTTATCTTCCTCGCGGTCCGGGCGGTTAAGCCAAGACCCTCGCCCCCGATCAGAGCCGCGAGACTTAACCACAGCGCTCTTCTCGGGATTACGATATGCCGACGGTTGACAGGGAGACTACGTCCCCCTGCCTGCTCGGTGGTAGTGTGAGTACACGCCGAGCCCGTCCTCCTTTCTCCACCGCTGTCAGCGGAGAAAACTGTGGCCCCTACAGGGCCCCGCCATCAGGTTTTTTACCGAGGTTTCCTCCTCCATGCTCCGAAGAGCGAAGAGCCAGCAGGGCAACCGGCAGACACGCCCACCCTGCTGGACCAGGCCTTGCCCGAGAGCCGGTGAACGGCTGCCTCTTCTGCTAGAATATTGGCCGCTGGCGATAATCCTCTCCTCCAAGAGGACAAGGAGGGAACAGTACCATCGCCAGCGTTTCCAGGGTGCACCACGAGGAGGTTTTCTAGCCCGCACCCCAGAAATGATTACTCCTAAACCAACCAATTCAATTCAGTCTTAATACTTTTCCGTCTAACTTTGCCACATTCGCAAATACTACTTTCATCATTTTTCAAGTCGGTAGGGATAATTAGCATACTAGAACCCTAAAAATATATGAAAGGCATGATTAATACATGATTAATGAAACATTCAAAAAAAATTAGCTATACTCGTATAGATTCTAAAATAAAAAAATAAAAAAAAAAAATGTCTCTCGATCGCGTTTATCAAAAGGTTTGATGTCTGATCGATCATAAAAATAAGTTACACAAAAAAGAGGTGATATACAAGTCTAGTAGGACCTATTTAATATTTATTAGTTGCAACATACATGGTCTCTGACATCAGTAACTGTTCCAGAACTTAAGGCCGTTATATGCAATTATGTGCAACATAGCATTTTGCTTGGATATCGTGCTTAATTAATAACTATAGCTGGGAACACATATTGCCTCATTACCCGTACTGATCTGCACACAGACAGAGTAGAATGGAAAAATCATACATACTGCGCCGACCCCAAATAAAATTGGGACAAGGGTAGGCAGATGATGACCCGTACTGATCTAAACATGATCTATCATAGAGTTAAAATGGTTTATAGTTAAGGAAAATCAAAAGTTGAGAGAAGAACGTAGTATCCTTTTTACATACAGTTATTTTTACTTTTAATCGCAAACTATGCAGAGCCTGAGCAACCAGACTGCTGATAAACATACTTAGATTAAGATATATATAGAGACTTATACAAACATACACAGAAAAACTTATCATGCTCATTACACAATTATTTTTCCTGGGTTGGAATCTCACGATCTCTGGCTTACCAGTCAGGATTACTCACCACTAGACCAATAAGCCCGGTCAAGGGTTTTAAATAAAATTGTTATTACATATAAAGTTAAAATAAGTTAAAATAACAGACATTTTATTTTTGTCTATTCTTCTACCACTTCTTATAGAATACACAAATTAATGATTATGTTAAATGAATTGAAAAAAAAAAACTTACATGGAAAGTGTTTTCCCAAAGGAGTAAGGTCTGTTGAAATCTTTGACGGAACACATAGTGTTATGTACTTTAACTGAAATACCAAGACTGGACAGATTCTCAGACAGTTCTTCCTCTAAATCGAAACTGCTGCAGGAACTAGGGATACAGACGCCCCACAGCAAACTGGAATAACGAGGAACTCTGTGACCCATCTGAAACAACAATAGAAGAGTTAATTAAAAACAAATGTAATCTTGATCTTAGTCTACTGTTATTTTTTAAATATTATATTTTAGAGTATTTATTTTAAATATTACTGGTTAATCATACAAGCACCATTGTCGTGTAGTTCTCATACCCACAACAGATTCCCAAAGTGACCAAGTGGATCATTGCGAAATCCATGCATTATGTGCAAACAATGAAACATTTTTTTAGGATTAAAGATAATATAATTAGATTGAAATATATTTTATTATACACAGTACACAATAGTATGCGTAATTGTTTGTGTCAAATTAATGGCGTTGTATGTCAGTTTTCCGAATGACACAAACAATTATGATTCGTAAGCGCGTATCAATAAAAATAATGTAGGTGCATCCTAGTCTAGTAATTCATAAAAAGTAAAGTCACAAACGCAAAAGACTTAGCCGTATAATCATTTTCTCAAAATCATTCAGGATTTTTTAAGACAATGAGTCGGTAATCTCATTTATTTTATTCTGATGTGATTACGTTGTCGTACGATAAGCAAGTTATTTTATAACAAAATAAATAAATATGTCCAATAATTTGGATGGTACACCATCTACCAATTAAGTGACAGCACTTACAAATTTTTGTGACAGGAGAATTGCGTACACACTGCTGGACATAAGCCTCTACTAAGAAAGGAGGTTTTGGTCTACGATACCACGCTGGCTGGACACGTTGGTATAAGGTTTATGTCAAGTTTCCCTCTTTGCAGTGCTATTGTCCTGCGTAGTTGTCTAACTTAGTCGGCTCTAACAACACATACGGGATGACTAGAGGATGAGATGAGATGAGACGGATGAGAACTGCGTAACGATTTCGCATATCGAACTTGGATTAGTTATACGTCATATTTTTTTATGGGATACCCCTTATATGTGAATAAATCATAGTGTAAATCCGTCATACAAACAAACAAATAATAAATGAACGTTTAACCCAACGTAATAATCATCTAGATCACGAACGCGCGAAACGACCCAAGGCTTCAAACTTAGTTAATATTCCGAGAGCAGGACGCACCGGCTACTTTGTTAGCGTATTTGGTCCTACACTTGATTTTGAATTACAATTGTTATTGAGCAATACAATGGCCCTTGACCAACGTCTACTGAAATATACAAAGAATTTGCTATTGATATCAACTCTTTAGACAATAGGTGCCAATTTTGTAGCGTATTGTCCGATGCTATCAATACAAGTTGCAGGTAAGCTTTGTATGTATATTGTATGCTATGTTGTCTTCTTTTGAGTAAGGCCGTGGTACTCTGGGCGAGCTGTCTCATATGTGCCGAAGTATGTTATATATGTATGTTAAATGTATGTATATCTTTATATGTAAACTCCACTCCAACAAAAATATATTAAGGATCTTCGTACGGAATTACAACAAAGACAACAGAATGGAGAATCCGACCTAACTATAAAATATGTCGAGGGTATCCCTAAAATAATTAAATCAACATCAAAAAACTACAAATAATCAAAAAAAGGTTTGAAAATACAGTCATAGATTATGTAGAAAACATCTCAAATATTACTTATCAAAAAACTACCTGTTTCGAGGACATCTGTACCAAGCGAACGTCACTTAGGTTTTTGTACACAAACATTAGAAGTATAGTTAAGCAAAACAAATTAGAGGAATTGCAATGTTTGCTAAAGTCAATAAGGACAACTACACACATTATTCTTCTTACAGAAACTTGGATTAAGTCAGATGCCGAGGCCAACCTGATACAAATACCTAATTATTCACATGTTTATATATACCGAAAGGGGCGTGTTGGTGGCGGAGCATCTGCGTTTATACACAATAGTATTAAATACGAAATCACTGAGCTCTGCCATAAAGGCCAAAATGATTATCTTTGGATATATTTGGAAAAGTATGGACTACATATTGGATTGGTGTATAAGCCTCCAAGCACAAATCTTACTGATTTTATTGAAACTTATGCTCTGCAATTAGAGAAAAAACGCAAAACTATAGTATTCGGTGATTTCAACATCAACTTATTAAAAGACGACAGACAGACAAATACATATAAAAGCATGCTTAACGAATTCGGTTATCAAATACTCAAAAATATAAGTACGAAATATTGTACTCGTGAAACGAAAACTACGAAAACCCTGATTGACCATATTTCATCAAATATCCAAGAATATACCTTCCATATGACCTTAATTGATACTATACTATCGGATCATAAACAAATCTACTTGGAACTAAAGAAACCTTTACTTACAAAAAAGTTAAAATATGAATACCTAGCTACAGACTACACGAATCTATACAAATCAATTGAAGAAACAGAATTTAACAATGAGGAGAACGACTATCAAAACCTGCAAACTCTTATTACAACTAAAATTACCAGCAATAAAATAAAAAAAGTAAAAATTCTCAACAAGCCTCGTGATGACTGGATTAATAAAGATGTGCTAGATATCTTACATAAGCGTAATAAAGCATGGAGTGCCTATAAACATGAAAATGGCAGCCCTGAAACTAAACAAAAATTCATACATTTAAGAGACGTGACTAATAAAACAATAAGAAACGCGAAAAGAAAGTACTACTTGGATAGTTTCAAAAAGTGCAAGAAACACACGAAAAAAATGTGGAATTTAATTAATACGCTAGCAAAGAACAAACACATAAAAAATATGTTCCAGTTAAATTAACAACAGAAAATAATGTAATAACAAATGGTAAGCAAATCTGTCAATATTTTAATGATTACTTTTCCACAGTTGGTTCTAAGTTAGCCAATAATATACTACAAACACAAACAAACCTATACACTCCAAACAAGTTAAATATAAATGTGACACAGTCACAAAAAAATACAGCTACATTAAATACACTACATGCTTGCACAAAAAAAGAAATCAGTAAAATAATCGATAACTTAGATATAAATACAAGTAGTGGTATTGATGGGATTACGGTTAAAGATTTAAAATGCATTAAAAACTTAATAATAGATAACTTAACTGAATGTATAAATAAGTGCCTTGAACTGGGAATATTCCCTGATAGTCTTAAGATTGCCAAAGTGACTCCTGTTTACAAGTCTGGAAGCAAATCTGATCCAGGTAATTATCGACCAATTTCCGTGCTCCCGGTCATCTCCAAAGTCTTTGAAAGAATAATTTACATCCGTCTTTACAACTACCTTACAGACACAAATTTCTTTTTTGTGAACCAGTATGGATTTAGGCCAAAATCAAGTACTTTATCCGCTACTATGGATCTAACAACAAAAATTAAAAATGCTATAGATAAAAAACAATATGTCCTAGGTGTCTTTATAGACCTAAAAAAAGCATTTGATACAATTAGCCACAATATGCTTTTAAACAAGTTAAGAGATGCAGGAATATCAGGAACAGCACATAAAATTCTTAGGTCGTACTTAGAAAGCCGGAAACAAGTAGTTAAAATTGAAAACCATGTAAGTTTGCCTGCTAAACTAACGTACGGAATTCCTCAAGGATCGATTCTCGGCCCCCTGTTGTTTTTAATTTATATTAATAATATAAACAATGTTAAAACATCAGGCACCGTTACACTTTACGCAGATGACACCTGTCTCTTTTATTTTGGACCCAACCTGATAGATATCGTGAAAGAGGCACAAAATGATCTAAATATTTTAAACAACTGGTTTCTATCTAACTTATTAACTATTAATACGAAAAAAACATCATACATGATCATTGCTGCAAAAAATAAGAAGATTGACCATCAAATCCAACTAACAATAAATAAAGAAAATATTACAAAATCAAGTGGTGAAAGATATTTAGGCCTCTTTTTGGACACAAAATTAACATGGAAACACCATATTGCATATATTAAATCCAAAATATCTCCTGTTATTGGTGCACTACGTCGAATGTCCTTTTGCGTCCCTAGTAAGGCTCGAGTAATGATCTATAACGCTCTAGTTAGACCTCATATAGAATACCTGATTGAGATATGGGGCACTGCTTCGAAATCGAATATCCAAGAAATTCAAGTCTTGCAAAATAAAGCAATAAAAACACTTTATAACTACGACTACCTAACACCAACACTTAACATCTACAAGGATACCAAAATCCTAACAATTAGACAATTATACATTCTTAAAACTTGTATACTAATACATAAAATCATAACACAAGGTACACAATCACAATTAAGCTTCAAAGAAAAAACCTATACATACAACGCTAGGAAACGAAAAAAACTCGAAGTGACAAAGCCTAGAACCAACTATGGTAAGAAAAATATATTATATGAAGGTATAAAACTTTATAATGAAATTCCTGATGATATTACTAAAAGTGATAGCTTGTATAAATTTAAAAAAAAATTAGGAGATTACATTAGGATAAAGTACTGACTCTAATGAAGTTGTCTGTATATCTTTAGTTTTATCTTTAGTTTTGTTCTACTGTAATATGTGTTTTATCCTACTGTGTATTGAGATCACAGAGATACTTAACTAATTTATTGTGTTGTTACATTTTCTCATTATGTAAGTGAACTGTATTGTTCTTTTTATGAGAAATAAATGTCTCTAAACCGAAGTTTAAATGATAAATAGTAACAAGTTACATTTATTTATGACAATCATCATCGGATGATGATGTCCTACACTTGATTAGGTTCCAAGCTCCGCTATCTCATCTGCAGCTAGTGAACCTTCTCCGTGCTTCTAGCTCCGTTGTCATCAGTTTTCTCAACTAAATATATGACCATTTATTTTAAACATTACAAAAGAGGTATTACAGTTAGGTATTTTAGTTCTCTTGTAAATTTCTTCATTCGGATTACATTATTTCGCAGACAGACGATAGGCACTTTTTTATTGCTTGTATAGCAACTTATTTTGATATTACGTTGAAAATAATAACAATTATTTTCTTTTTTAAGTCCTTTTAGTAATGCCATTCTTTATATCTTATACGAAAACGTATTAAATTTAGTGATACTAAATCTAATAGGTTTTCGGGAGAAATTCTAAGTGATTCTAGTTTTTTCTATTCCTTCTCTCTCCTGATAGTGCTGTGCCCGACAGGGTCCATAATTGTTACCTACTTTTAAGCCTACCACCTGAATGTACATTATGGAATGCAATATTGAAATTGAAATTGAAAAAAAAATTGAAATTGAAAGTTTTTTGCAATTTGCAAATTTTTTGTATTTCTAGGAACATTTCCTAGATATACAAAAATTACAAAACATTAATATAACAGTGTTGCAATGTGATGATGTGTTGTTCGGTTTTGTGTTACATACATTATTGTTAGTCTTGTACCTGTCGCATATTTTTCCGTTACGGCAGAGATCTACTGATGTCTTGAATACGGGATTTGAATACATAATAAATGTGGTATACATTTACGGTAAAACTACATCTAAAGATTCAAATCTTATCACTGATATGAATGCCTAAAGTACTTTACGGATGGCGGGTGGTTTAAGCGGTCATCTCGCCGGTTCCTAATTTTAAACTTAAACTTAACTTAAACTTTTTTATATATGTACTAGCAAACCCGGCGAACTCCGTTTCGCCACCAGATGGTTTCGTTTTATGTAACATTTCGTTTGGTGATTAAATGAAGAAGAAAAATTTTTTTTTGTTTTATATTTGAAAAGGAAAATTTTGATTTTATTTCACAACAGTAATGAATTCATTTCGATTACAAAAATGAAGTGTTATTTAGTTGAACTTCAATAAGTAAATGAAAGTGAATCCAAAGTAAATACTGAATCGAAGCGTTATACGTGTCCGCAAATTATCCGTTTCATTGAAGTGCTCTTTGGTAAACCACATTTTTTGTTTTTTGGTCTGACGTTAACACAAACAAAGTGGATGGTTGGAAACAAACACTAAGCGACTTGTTAATTGTCATTGCGACTTGTTAATTGTCATTGCGAACGCAAGGCGAACTGGAAATTGCAATCGTTTGAAGTCAAACGGAAGATCAGTCGGAATCATTGGTATTCGAGGAATACATACATTTTCACCTGCGTACTTGCCGTTAATAATGGTTGCCTCAATCAAATTCGGCATAAGTCTTTTTACCGAAAGTCGAGTACCGTTGCAAAGTCGCGGTGGATTCAAATTACGCAATATCATAATAACTATACCAACTTTGAGTTGCAAGTTATGTGGTGGAAATCCTGGTAACTCCAGAGAGTTCAAAAACTCCGTTGGATAATTTACTACATCATCGGGATTTGTTATGGAATCAACGGATTTGTATGTCACCAAATCGCCAGCAATTTTTGATTGAATGGTGAAATTCAGTGCGTGTACATCATTACTTTTTGCGGCACGAATTGCTCGCTGACTTAACCAAGCATAATTCTGATAATTCTCACTAATGTTTGGGAAAACATTTTCAATAAGAGCTAATTGAGAGTCTACAAATCGGCAAAAGTCGTTGGTAAGAGTAATTAATCCAGATGTCGCATCAACTGGGACTTTTCCATTTCCAACAGCTAACAATTGTTTCGAAAATTCTTTTTTTTTTTTTTTTTGTTTTTTTTTTATTTGCAGCACTTTGATCATTTTGAAATTGAACTCTCATGTTAGTGGTTAGCGATAATGTTTTTACGTTATTCCATAAAGGTGATGCCTTCAGGCAAGCATTCAATTCATCTGCAGGCGTTCCACGGGGAATTACTGGCAACGTCTGCCTGAAATCGCCTGCCAACAATATCATCAAGCCGCCAAAGATGTTGTTATTTCGCCGAAGATCCTTCAGTGTGAAGTTAAGTGCTTCAAGTGATTTCTTATGTGCCATTGTGCACTCATCCCAAACAATGAGCTTGCATTGCATCAACAATTTTCCCATTGCACTGGATCGGGAAATATTGCATGTTGGAGTATCAAGTGTGTTTAAATTGAGTGGCAACTTAAGCGCAGAATGTGCAGTACGACCGCCATCTAGAAGAGTCGCCGCAATTCTAGATGATGCTAACGCCAAAGCTATGTCACATCTTGATCGAATAGTGGCCAAAATCAATGAAATGACAAATGTTTTCCCTGTTCCTACAGGTGCGTCCAGGAAGAATTGACCACCAGTATTATTGGCCACCGCTTGCATTAATGTTTCGTATACTTGTTTTTGCTGTTCATTCAGCAACGGCACATTATTTCGAACGAATTCCTGCAATGTATCAACATTGTATTACAGCTCTCGATATAATTTTTGGATGAATGCATCGTGCATCGATCGATTTGGCGCAATCATTCCTACTTCAATCAGTAGCTTGTTTGCAAAAGTCAAGCATTGATCCTCAATCAGAATCAATCCTTCATTGTAGATTTCATCGGTTATTTGGATGTCAGGATTATTCGTTTGAATGCGCAAGCGATGCAAGATATCTTCACATATGTCGTCTTTGTATTTGTTCCATAACTGAATTGGTTGTGAAGGAAAACATGTGGTGATGATAATTGCGAACAGCGTTCGTATTTGGTACGCATTTGATGAAACAACTGAATCCGCAAGTGTTAAATCGCAATGAGAATCGTTCTCCAGCAAACATAATAGTTGACATGCTTCTCGATATGTTTGGCATTGGTGGCCATTCACAGTTTTCAAATGCGCAAATGATTTTGGTTCACGTACATTTACCAACAGCAGTCGCAAATAAAAACATTCATCATTTCTAGGATGAACAGTATACATGCGACCATCAGTGGAAAACACCTGTGGCCAATCTGGAACTGGGGTTCCTTGTTTGCGACGTTGGAATTTCTTTGTTGATTGATTCCAAGTGTAATACTTGGGCATTTCAACGTACATCAGCGTCGCTGCGAACGGATCTGCTTCACACATTGCAAAGAAGCTAGTCAATGTTGTCGATGGTGGTCTCTCAGCTCATTGTGCCGCATTAGCCTCAGTGAAGTAAACTCTTTGGCCATTTTCCAAATGCACTGCTAAATATACAACTGTGGGATATCTTTCAAGAATTTGAAATTACAATAATCGCCACATTGCTTCATTAGTACTGACGTATCTGCCCATTTGGAAGTTGCTGTTTTCGTCATTCGCATTTTCCGACGCAATACCAAACACAGCCATGCCGCTGCCTTTTGTGACGTACTTGCACAAATATTTGATTGATTTGGCCGAATGATAACTCTCAACGTTTGCATGTGTTTCGAAAATTCGTGATAGCAGCGGGCAATATGGTACAATAAATTCATTTCCGATCTCAATCTCTTGATTTTGAACTTTAACTTTGATAGTTCGACCATTATCTTCTTTTGAACGCCGACGATAAACTGGATATCCATCGTTCCCTGTGACTTTTTCAGCAACTAACGGTCGCGGATATCGTTTTGTGCACTTTCCATCAGCCATGCAAGGCGATAATGGATTTAATGCACCGCACGGTCCATGCACCATCTGTTTCGTCACAATGTCGTGTAGATGGGGATCAGTGACTGAATCAGGAATTTCAGCTGATATGATGTCATCCACTTCATTTGAATGTAATTTGTTCAGCAACCAAATTAGGATATGAGCATGCGGTAGTCCACGCTTCTGCCATTCCACCGAGTACATATAACAACGTGTGTCACCAAAAACTCGATACTTAGTAAGCACATCCATCATAACCTTGAGTTTTTGCTGAAATACTCTGGCGATTATGTCATGGCGATCTTGCGGTTTTTGGTCCGGTTCCAACTCACGTTCAATTTCCGTCCACTTTGGATTGCATGTGAACGTAATAAATAAATCCGGAGTTCCATAATTTCGCACGTACGTCATAGCGTCTCGAGCGTGCATGTGGCGTGGGCTTCCGATATAAGATGATGGGAGAATCGTCAGACGTCCAATATTCTGAACATTACCATCTGAATGAATAGCATCACGCAAGTGTATATAGTCCTCAGATCGTAGCTTTGCCTGATTGAATCGGATGAACGCTAAACGTTCGGTCTCGACTTTGACATACATGTCGACAGCAAATTGCTGGTATAGCCGACGGCACTTCAGAATGACATTCTCCTCATGTGTACGAATCATCATACGATACGCATAGTAATTCATTGCGCTTAGATTTTTGTTCGTTGATACGCCTGAAAATGCAAAATTAAATGAATTGTTAATGGAAACCAATAATAGCAATAATAAGTGTGTGAATATTGTACCTGTAATTGGATCGACCATCTTCTACGTGATGTCGTATCCGTCTTGCCCTTGCCAATAATTGGATATTGTAAAGCATCGTACAAACGATGTGTCTCGTTTACACGATGCATGATATTGCTTCTTCGCTGAACGACAATGTCTCGCGATTTAGTTGTATCGCCAACAATAATTGCAGCAACATCATTAACGGTGGGTGCATTGAATCTTCGCACATGTTCACCTGTTGGGGTACAATCCGCTCTTATGACAAATTTGTGCGTATATATATATTAACCACAGCATTATTAGCGTGAAAAAATGCTTGCAACTGTTCAATAATTCATCTCTTTAACTGTTGTGTTCCCTGTATATTGCACCGCACATTCAGCTGATCCACCATCGACGAAATGAAATATATTTACAGAAATTGATGCGGTTCATCTGGTGTTGGCACCATTGAACCATGCAAATGATATATTTGTCCTTGTATCTGTAATTGCAAACAATCATTTGTTGAAGAATACGGTGTAACTTCTGACCGTGTGATGGTGTAGTGTGTGGTGTATATGTAGTTGTTATGTGTTGCAATTCATTGTGTTGGTGTGAGTGATTGGTTATGTGTGTTGTATCTTTTACCTTGCAAGTCGGCATGAAGCCGCCTTCTCGAATGATATTAGCTCCAAAGGAAGTCATGCGAAAGCAGTTATTGTATTCAAGGATGTGTTGAATAAAATGGCTGGAATCGGGATCACTTCCATCGAACAATGGTTTCAGTGGCTGTGGTGGTGTAAGTAATGGATCCAGTTTGACTTTTCCACTTGCGCAGCACAATCCAGCCGTTTCTCTTTTGAACTTTAACGCATTGCAATATCGGCATATAGTCGTCATTGGTCCAATATCTAAATTTTCATCATCACTGTAGTTCGCAGTGGGATCATATTGGAATGCCAAGCGATTGTATGATGCCAATGATCTTCGTGTGCTAACGCGTTGTCTCAATCGGGCATTTTCTCTTATTATATTTTGTCTTTCTTCGCTTAAGTTCTGTGAATACACTTGTTGCTGGCTTGCATGTCTTGTGCGGCGGCCGATGTTCGCACGTCGTCCTCTAGACATTTTGGACTATGGATAGAGTGGTGAATTTAACCTTAAATGCACGATCCACATCATTTACACAGTTCAACTTACCACCTTAAAGACAAATGCCTGCTGTTGAAATTGAATAAAAATTTGCACAATACACGTGATTGATTTGATGGTTTCCAATTGAATTGTTAGGAAACGAATATTTTTTTACTTTTTTTTTCACAATTTCACAGTTAACACAATACCGGTTTGTCACATGAAATTAACTGAGCAGAGAACAATGAGTAGCTGTCAAACTATGCATCACGCACCGGCGCCATCTACTTAAAATATTGGTTTGTAGTACATGCTATGTATCAGAGATGGCGCTGTATGTGAAAAAAGATTATCCCGCTTTTCTGTTGAAATTTTTCCTTAATTTTCTTTGCTATAAACCACACGGAGCCCGAGACCTTTTCAACGAATGCAAAACCGTGGAAATCGGTTCGTGCGTTCTGGAGTTATAGCGTCAGGAAGGAAAACCCGACTTATTTTTATATAGTAGATTTGTAACCCCATATTTATTGATTATAAAACTAAGAGCTGGTGATTAAGAAATTCTATTTCAGAAATTCACTTTGAAATAGAAATGAATCTCATTTTCCATAACATAAATAACATTAAACATTAGTTTATTTCACGAGACTATTCGGCACCAGAAAACCATTAAAATACATGTTACATCGCTACATTTACATCGTAAAAAGTATTTTTCACTAATTAGTTGAAATTACATCTAAGGAATAATTAATTATCATACAAAGACGATAAATCAAAGGAAATTGAGAAATAATGGCGACCTTGAACTTGCGACTTGTCGTGGTATTTCGTAGCGCGCATTATTGTCTCGTTTGGGCTGTCTGCACGCCCAGCGAATAAATTATACAACAACATACGTTACATTTAAAATTACAAAAAGTTTTCAACCAACCTTCAGTAGGTTAAAAGTGTCCAGGCACAAAGTTTAAGGTCGAAAAAGATAGGGGCTTTGTTATTTAGATACCTATAATGAGTAGGCGTCAATGTAGTCATTATTAGCGCGCATCAACTATAGTTTATTTATAAAGGAAAAATGGTTTTAATTAACTGTATATTTTAAGAACGCCTGGCCTTTCAGGCATCCCTGAGCTGCATCTTACGTGATTTATAACGTTCATCCTTAATAAATATCAATATTACCCGTGAAAATTATTTTATCAACATCATCTACTATACATCTATCAAATATGACAATAACAGAGTAATCGCAAACAAAAATTTTTTTTTTTACTTTCATGCGGTTTGTTGTTGGTTGCAATACAAACTAACCTACCGTTTCATTTTCTATAAGCTGGTGGAATTGTTTTAAAAAACATTAAGGCAACGAATAATTTAACATATGCAGTAGATATTTATTTATTGATTTCTTTTACATATTATTACCCCGAGGAAAATAACTTACCTTGTATGCATAAACGTGTTCATTTAAAACAAAAAAAAAACATTTTGATTGATAAGTTCAGAGGTTGCACATAGATATGTATTAAGTACGAACGTATTAACACATTTTTTTAACAATCTTGATTCTTGATTAACCTACAAAGTTATTTGATTGCAGTTGACCATTCGGATAATTATTATTGTGAGTCTATGTAACTGAAGTCTGAATATTGTGTTACACTAAAGTTATTATAAAAGCACGCTACGCTTTTTTACGTTACATTTTGTAGTTTTTAGTGCGATTTGATATTGAACCGTATTTTCAAACAACGTATATTTTATTTTATTATATAGCAACGAAAATATTAACCAACAAATATTTCAGCA